GACAACTAACCTTCTTCATTAAGGCTAACTCTACTGATATTCACACTTGGAAGACAACTAAGCTTCTTCATTAAGGCTAACTCTACAGATATTAACACTTGGAAGACAACTAACCTTCTTCATTTAAGCCAACTCTACTGATATTAACACTTGGAAGACAACTAACCTTCTTCATTTAAGCTAACTCTACTGATATTAACACTTGGAAGACAACTAACCTTCTTCATTTAAGCTAACTCTACTGATATTAACACTTGGAAGACAACTAACCTTCTTCATTTAAGCTAACTCTACTGATATTAACGCTTGGAAGACAACTAACCTTCTTCATTAAGGCTAACTCTACTGATATTCACACTTGGAGGACAACTAAGCTTCTTCATTAAGGCTAACTCTACTGATATTCACACTTGGAGGACAACTAAGCTTCTTCATTAAGGCTAACTCTACTGATATTAACACTTGGAAGACAACTAACCTTCTTCATTTAAGCTAACTCTACTGATATTAACACTTGGAAGACAACTAACCTTCTTCATTTAAGCTAACTCTACTGATATTAACGCTTGAAAGACAACTAACCTTCTTCATTAAGGCTAACTCTACTGATATTCACACTTGAAGGACAACTAAGCTTCTTCATTAAGGCTAACTCTACTGGTATTAACACTTGGAAGACAACTAACCTTCTTCATTTAAGCTAACTCTACTGATATTAACACTTGGAAGACAACTAACCTTCTTCATTTAAGCTAACTCTACTGATATTAACGCTTGGAAGACAACTTAGCTTCTTCATTAGGGCTAACTCTACTGATATTAACTCTTGGACGACAACTAACCTTCTTCATTAAAGCTAACTCTACTGATATTCACACTTGGAAGACAACTAACTTTCTCCATTAAGGCTAACTCTACTGATATCAACACTTGGAAGACAACTAACCTTCTCCATTAAGGCTAACTCTACTGATATTCACACTTAGAAGACAACTAACCTTCTTCATTAAAGCTAACTCTACTGATATCAACACTTAGAAGGCAACAAAGTTTCTTCATTAAGGCTAGCTCTACTGATATTAACACTTATAATACGACTAAGCTTCTTCATTAGGGCTAACTCTACTGATATTAACTCTTGGAAGACAACTAACATTCTCCATTTAGGCTAAATCTACTAATATTAAGTCTTGGAAGACAACTAACATTCTCCATTTAAGCTAACTCTACTGATATTAACTCTTGAAAGACAACTAACCTTCTTCATTAAGGCTAACTCTACTGATATTCACACTTGGAGGACAACTAAGCTTCTTCATTAAGGCTAACTCTACTGATATTAACACTTGGAAGACAACTAACCTTCTTCATTAAGGCTAACTCCACTGATATTAACTCTTGAAAGACAACTAAGCTTCTTCATTTAAGCTAACTCTACTGATATTAACACTTGGAAGACAACTAAACTTCTTCATTAAGGCTAACTCTACTGATATTAACTCTTAGAAGACAACTAACCTTTTTCATCATCATTAAGACTAACTCTACTGGCATTAACACTTGTAAGACCACTAGACACCGTTGAGAACACGCTAGGTTGTCTGCGATGATGTTTACTCCCTCCAGAAGATGTTAGTGAGTCTGGCGCTTCAACTCCCACTTCTGATGAAATCGTTGAGGTAACAGAAGGAGATGCTGGCAGGTTTGTCCCTGCAGGTGTCCCTGGGTGCATGATTTCTTCTTGTAATCTACTAGGAATAGAAGATGGAGGAATTAAGACAACCTCAGATTCAGAGAACTCTTGTTCTCCAGACATTTCTGAAACCTCTGCTGTTGTGTTAGATGATTTAATTACATCATTTGCACTATCACTGTGCAGTTTATCTCGCAGAGCATTCAATTCTGAATCAACAGGATTCTCTTTAAGCTTATTGTCATTTTGTTCACAATGAGTTTCATCTTTTTCCTGTGCATTTGAAGTGTCTTCTTCCTGCAGCTCAGGTTCATGTGCAAGGTCTCCTCCACACTCTTCTGATAATACTTGTATTGAAGTTTCACTGCTGTTATCTTCAACAGGATTTATGTAATTTGTCTCTGTATTGCTTTCCTTATCAATTTGCTCTGTCATCTCCAACATACAAACTTCTTTCTTAGCAATATCAGTTCCTATTTCATTTTCATTTTTAATATTAATGACACTCTCTCTATCATTTTTTGCTAGTTCTTCTGTCGTTCTCTTTGGATTGTCCATTTCGTTTATTCTTAGTGGTTTAATCTCACTTGAACTTTGACTTTGGTCCAATCCTAACTCTGTTGAGTTTTGACTCTGGTCCAAACTAAACTCTGTCGAGTTTTGACTCTGGTCCAATCCTAACTCTGTTGAGACAAGGTTCATTGAAGAAAGCTCCAAGTCATGATTAAGCAGATTTTCTCTACTCAAAGCCACAGCAGCGTCTTGTAAGAGTCTTGTTGTTGGTGTGAACATATATAATGACTCATCCCTTATAAGATAGTAATAGTTATCTTCCTTCATTATACTGAATCCTATTAATTCTAAATTCTCAAAACAAGTCTTGTCCATTCTTCCAAACTCCTATAAAACAAATCACATATAATGAAAAAATTATCTTCCAACTATGATATCCTGCTTCTTTACCCCATTCGCATGCTGATGTCACCTTTCACAGAATAAACTTACATAATTTTTTCTCTATTTTTCCATTTTGATCAAAAATTTGTCAAAAAAATGTCAAAGCAATCAAACTGGTGGTGGTTATCAAAATTATGTCAACAACTTTTTTTTTACCAAAAATTATGATAACATTTGCTAAATATATAGAAAACTGATGATATCACTGTGAAATGTGACTAATGTGACAGTCATTAGTCATTTCTAGAAGATGTAAATAGCATTTATAACCAAAATTATAAAAATATTAAATAAAATTAGAGAATTAAAATTAGTATCATGAAACAAACAAATCTGACAGGGGTTCACCAAACTACATTTGAAGAAAGTATAAACCCCATACTGTTGGAGTTTTTCAAGAAGTCGAAAATGTAAATAGCTCTGCTTTGTTGACTTTATTGACAGCTGAGTTAAATAGTCTGTAACAACATTTTGGTATCGATATGATATATGCGTCTTAATGTCTTTGTTCTTTCCATATTTGCAGCATATGATGGTGGGTCCAGTGATAGTGATAGTAATGGACGACTGATGTCTTTGACTGATACAGAACGGTTCCAATCACGAATGCCTGAATTTTGGTTGATTATGAAAATTCATGATGACAAAGTAGATGTGTTCTTTCACACAAGGTAGGGTAGTATATTGTACAAAATGCAGAGTAGCCAATTATTTGTCAAGTTGATTTCAGAATGGCCAATCATGTGTCAAGTTGATTTTAGAAGGGCCAATCATGTATCAAGCTGATTTCATAATACCCAGTCATCTATTCAGTTGAGTTAAGGATAGCCAATCATGTGTCAAGTTGAGTTAAGGATGACCAATCATGTGTCCAGTTGAATTCAGGATGGCCAATCATGTGTCAAGTTGATTTCAGACTGGCAAATCATGTGTCAAGTTGAGTTAAGGATAGCCAATTATTTGTCCAGTTGAATTCAGGATGGCCAATCATGTGTCAGGTTGAGTTAAGGGTGGCCAATCTTGTGTCAGGTTGAGTTAAGGATGGCCAATCATGTGTCCAGTTGAATTCAGGATAGCCAATCATGTGTCAAGTTGATTTCAGGATGGCCAATCATGTGTCAAGTTGATTTCAGGATGGCCAATCATGTGTCAAGTTGATTTCAGATGGCCAATCATGTGTCAAGTTGATTTCAGGATGGCCAATCATATGTTAAGTTGATTTCAGATGGCCATCATGTGTCAGTTCACCAAATTACATTCCTAGAAAGTATAAACCTAATACTGTTGGAGTTTTTTAAAAAGTCGAAAATGTAAATAGCTCTGCTTTGTTGACTTTATTGACAGCTGAGTTAAAAAGTCTGAAACATCATTTTGGTTGGTAAAGTTATAGCATCCATAGTGTTAAGAAAAAATTCAGGAAATATGAAATTCCTTAAACTTCTATAAGACAGTAAATGGTGAGAAAGAAATACAAATTTAAATATGTGACAACAACTCTTAGCTTGTAATGAATGAGAGAAACACATTAAAACCTCAATAAACTTGTCCCGACTGTGTTCAGCACCAAATACAAAGTGTAGAGGGACTTTCTCTGCTTTACAAGTTGCTTTCGCAGTTGATCCTGTTACATGAATAGCCACCATATCCAATGTCGTAGCATTTATAGGTGATATCAAACGTTTTGCAGATGCAATCTCATCTTTCATTAGCCATTTAATCTACATTGACAATTTGAAAAAAAAAGGTATTAAAAATATGGTGTGATTTATACTGTGAGAAAATACACAGATAAGACCTGTAGTCATATGATGGGAGAATATGGGAATATTTCACAAAGTATTACCTGTTCAGCTGCATCTTTAACAACTTTATTCTGAGCAGCTGGTAATATACTAAGTGGATCCATTGACAATGATCCAAGAGGATACACACTGCAAATGAAACATAATGAGACCTATTGATATCAAATAAAAACAACACAGGTGACCTTGCAGTCAGTAGAGCTCTGCTGTAATTGACAAGTGCAGAGGGCAGTGGCAGTTACTAGGTGGATAGGAGAAGGGGAATCTATGAGAGTTTAGTAATTGTGGTAAGGTCACTCCCACCCTCACTGTTCAGTATCACCCATATAAAAACAGCAAACGTATAAACTCTGAAATGACCTTGACCTGAAAACATTGGCCCATCCAGTTCCTTTTTCCAAGACAATGTCCATTTTTCAAGCCTAGTTTACAACTGATACAGCTGTCTACTGGAGTCCATGCATTATACATAGCCCATATATAATGTATGGGAAAGTGAAAAAATCCAAAAAAATCATAACTCTGTACAAATGAAGATATCTTTCCCAAATGAAGAAACTTGAAGAGAGGGCCAGTCCATGTGTCTACATTATGAATTTCACAGAATGTGGCAGGCGGTTCTGAAGAAGAAGTAAAAAATGTGCAAAAACACACTTTCATGCCAAATTTTAAAGCAATCTGACAAGCTGTTGTGGAGAAAAACATTTTTAATCATAAACAACAAAAATATTTTCCAAAAACATATGTGATGTTTACATGTAATGTCATGAAATAAACAAATCTGACAGGGAACCATCCTAGGTAGGTTTGGTATGAATACATGTAGCAAGGCAATCCAGCTGATGGTTTTGGAGAAGAAGTTGTTTAAATGAGAAAAGTTGACGGGCGAAGTATGATGTACGACAGACGGGCAACGAAATGTGCGGACAACCCATGAACTCCGCTCGGTCATCTTAAATGAAAATGAAGCTAACAATAAGATCTATTGTTATCAATCACTGAGAATACACATTGGAGGCTAAAATACCTAGCAGACTCTGATCCGTCACTTTGTAAATGTTGATAAATGTCAGCTTCCTGTGGTGGAGTTCCAACTGGTGATGGCATACTACCAACTGATATTGTTCTCTCACTTCTCTTACGACAAGGCTCTGAATCTGAATCAACTGGTAATGTTAAACAAATGATGTCCAATGTGATTGATAAACCAGATAGATCAATATCACTGACAGGATCCTCCAAACAATCAATCAATTCGCCTGAAAAACAGAAATAATCAAGATTATCAGTGTGTGTGATCATAAACTTTATAAGGTACACTGGAAATACAAACAATACTGTACAATAATATCCATAATGGTATCAGTCAGCCATTTTTAATCAGTAACCAGTAACCCATCAAGTTTAACTAAAATCAATCCTGAAAAATTGTTGATGATGTGTTAAAATGTTGATTCTTGTGTTTTTGCACAAAAATGGCCACCAGTCCAAAACCTTTCTTAAACTGATCTTAACTTACCTAAGCAAGTAGGGAGAGAGCGTACTGACTGGCTCCTTACATTCACACCTTCTTTCACAGAGCATGAGAGATTCACAAATAATGGTGGGATATCTTGAATATGACTGCCATCTATGGACTCAAGTGAACTATTGATAGACATCTCATCATACAAGACATGCGAACTTTCACTTGTTACATCTGATCTTTTATCTTCTAAACTTACTGACACTTTCTTGGTGCTCTGATTCAGATTAAGTAGAGTTCTTGAATCAGAGTTGATTGCTGTGGTTGCTTCATCATCAAGGAATTGTATCTGTGCTACTGTAAAAAAGAAGGATTATAAAAAATTGAAGAGCAAAACAGCAAGGATGACTATGTATCATCCTCACTACATGTACTCTATCAATCAAGTTAGAATAAACTAATAATTAGAAGTCATTACCCAAATCCTTGTCACTATTCTGTCTAGAGTCTGCCATTTCTTTATTGAGCTGATCTGATGCTGCACTTGAATCTAATCCACCATCAACAAAAATATTATCTTCATCATCTTCATCATCTTCCTCTTCCTGAGAATAGGTACATGCATATAGCAAAATCATGTGCTCTGCCTACACAATTATGTGTTCTATGTGCACATTCATGTCTTCTGTGTGAACAATCATGTCTTCTGCGTGAACAATCATGTGCTCTGTGTGAACAATCATGTGCTCTGTGTGAA